CCAATTGCTTAATAAGCACCTAATTACCTTAATTTTACAGAATAATGTCAATGCTGGATTTCCAACACAACTCTAATCAAAACAAGTCATTCACAAAAACTCTAATGTGCAATTATCAATTACATCAATTCATCAGTCTGTTGCCAAGTTCCTGCGAAATGGTCACAACATGAAATATTCTATGTAGACACAATGTATCAATTATATCCTGTAAGGGAAAGTAGGTTTTGTGGATAAGAACAGTACTGGCCTTGATTGGACTGGGTTGTTGTCGCTGATGTCAGCTGATGTCAGCACCTCCTCTCTCTCTCTCTCTCTGTCTCCTCCTTCTCGTCTCTCATATGACAGAAAGACAAAAGAACAAACAAGAATTTAGTTTTTCTTTTCTTTTCACATTCACGCTAAGAAATAAGCAAACAGCTTAACTCAGGAATATTATAAATAGCTCAATAACATTTTATTTTATTTATTTATTTTATTATTATTATTTTTAATCCGTCAATATATCTCTCATTCACCAACTCAACCGATTATCAACCAAACAGTTTCACAGTCAAGCAACAGTTAATTCAACAAGCAGAACATTTCACTTGTGTGCAAGATTCCCCCTCCCTTTTTTGTCTGTTCTGAGACTGCCTCTCCCAGCAGTTCAGTGCAGGGGAGTGGCACATCTGTTGTACGTAACTCTAAACTCATAAAATCCTACGCGTGCGCAGTTCAGTCACCAATGCGATTTCAGAGTGAAAGGAACAACAGAGTAGACAGACCCGCTGTCACTCCATTCTCTCCTCCCATAGACAAACAATAACACAGCTCACAAACGAACACGGAATACATAGAACATACAACACAAATCCTACTTCCAAGTTTGTTATCTTCACTTATCCTAATCTGCAGATTTATAGTTATGTTGTTATCAATTACAAAACATCTCTATACACTCTTAAAAAAAGTCCTCCCTGTAGGCTCATGATTAGTTAGTAAACGTTCTCTTTTTATAGAGACTCATAAGATTTTTTAACTTATTGTCCTTCCAGGGGGCTCATAGTTTATATAGTTTAAGAATTATAAACGTTTTCACAAACAGAGACTCATAAGACGTTTAACCTTAACTTCGTTGTAGGGGCTTAACTTCTTTCTAGGGGCTTAACTTCTTATGAAAACAAAAATCCCTGTTCTCAACCAAAACATATATATATGTATAAATCTCTAACATAGATCTTATTTTAACATGAGTCGACACACAGCTGGAACTCATCAGGCACGCAGCCACTCTCTCTCTGTTTCACACAAACACACACACACACACACAGGCTCCGTTTTCTCGTACACACAGGATCCGTTTATACAAAGCATGCTTACCGCCGTTCCTATTTTTCCTTTATATTCCTTTGCTAAATTTCTGCTACCTTCAGGTTGTAGACATTCAAAAGAGAGGATTACTTCAGACAAATACTTCGTCAAATAGATTCTGAGCGGTTAACATACAATTGAATATCTTCTACAACCTGCAGTTCCCAGAACTGACTTGAGAGTTAATCTAATAACTATCAAGATTTATGGCCCATCATATTGATCGCCTCGTTTTCAAGGGCTTCCTTAAATTAACGGCGTCCTAAAAGTATACTGTCTTTTATTCCTGGCCTTATTTCTTCATGCTTTTCCTGGACACTCTCTCACACTTTTTCCAAGCCAAAATATGTGTGCCCAGTGTCAATTTCTATAGACACTCCCCCCTGTTTGCGTTGTTCTCAACGCAAACTAATTTAGAAAATTTAGAACGGAATTCCTATCATACAGCAAAAAACCAGCAAAACGCACGCACAAGTAATTTGACGGTACATCTTGAACGCACACACTCTGGACTCACAAAACGGCCAGCGCCCAATGTTAGGGATTAAGCTCACCTTATCTGCCGGCTTCTTGAGCGGGAGTCACTTTGTAGCCCAGGAATGGAATGCAGAGAAAAGATGTATCACGTCCCAAAAAATAAAACAACCTCGTCGCCATTAATGTGGTGTCAAAAAACAAACCTTTGCTGATAATGCCGTGATGATAAGAAGTCCGCCGACACTGTACTTTGTTTATAAAGGTTTATTATAACAAAGAGTTTCAGCGTCAGATTTACAGATACCTACAGATATCTGAAGAACAGCAGGAGCCAATTCTGTAATTCGCTATTCCCTTCTTCCCCCTGTTCAAGACATGGTATTTATATCATATATGACATAGTATGGCGTGATTTTAATACCCAATCCCTGGCCTTTCCACATATCTTCCCATATCCTTTTTTCCAGGAACTTTAGTAATGCTTTCCAGATGTTTCAGCAAACAGAGCCAAGTTTCCTCTATTCCAAGAAACCTCTGTAGCAATGCTTTTCCAAATGCTTTAGCAAAGTAGAGTAAAGTTCATCTATTACACCATTTGCAATGTCAGCACAATCACAGAGCCAAGTTTCCTCTAACACACTTTTTGCAAAGGTCAGCAGAATCACAGACTCTAAGACACTACACCATATATTTTTCAACTGTACTGTGATGTTTTACAAAAGTTCTGAACCCTTCTATTCTCATTGTTTCTACAGATTGTACATTGAAAATAAATTTTTTTGCTAAAAGTATTATTATATTATTGATCGATTGACTATGACTTTTCAGATCACCCAGTAGTGCTATCTGCAGGGTTAGCTCCAGGTAAATATTGCAATCCTTTAGCCATTCCTGGACCTGTGTCCAAAAACAAGCTGCAAATGGACAGTACCAAAACAAATGATCTATTGATTCTGTCTCTTCGCAGCAAAATCTGCAGAGCTGGGAAGATTGTATCCCCCATATAAATAACATTCTATTGGTAGCAAGAATTTTGTATAATAATTTAAATTGAAAAATTCTAAGTTTTTGAATCCGGCGTTCATAAACACTATGCCATGGAATCAGTACGTCAAAAATCTCTTCCCAACTATTTTGCAATCTATATGGGACAGCTGTCAATCCTTTGGTCCTTAAATGAAACTGGTATACTTTTTTATTTATCACAATTTTCTTTAACCAATTATGTTCTTTAATGCCAGGCCGACAGACAAGTTCCTTACTTTTTCCCCCTTCCTCTTTCCTCTTCCATTTTTGCGGTAATGCTGCAATTATTTGGTTGTAATTTTGGGTAGAGCAGACATTTCCATATGTTTTTGTTAGCTGCATGTGCGACATAACTCCACCAATCCTACCTATGATATCATTTACGAAGATTATACCTTTTTATTTTATTTTTTATTTTTTTTTAAATGTTTTTAAAAAAAATCAATTAGTATTATTTATATTTGAGTTTAACCACAATATTTGTTGCATTATTTGTTCTGTCGTTTCTGGAGGATTAAATTGAAATTGCAACCAATTTTCTAATCATAAATATTAACAAATATTGATGAAGCTCACTGAAGGGACAAATAATTCCATAATTGAGAGAAATAGGCTAGTAATGGCGTCTTTTTGTAGGCTCCTCCTCCTCCATGGTTAATTGGACAAAGCCTGTGGGGAAACGAATGGTGTTTTTGCAGGGGGTTTTGGATTAATGCCGAAAACAAGGCCTGTGGTAAACACAGGCTTAGAAGATCTTATACATTTTGTTCTATGAGATAATCTTCATCAGCTAACGTAACTTTTGGTGAATTCTGAAACATTTATGTAATTTTAAAAAAAGCACATAAATCACCTAAAGGCTTCATCATTCATAAAGGTCATGTTAACTGACTGCTATTATCACAAATAACAAAACTTATAAGATCTCCTAAGCCTGTGTTAACCTCAGACCTTATATTTAGCATTTATCCTCAAACCCTATTATTTCCCCATTTCATTTCCCCCATATGAATGGCTGAACCAACCAGAGGTAACTCATATCTGGTTTTTAGGACTGCAAGCTAGTTTCCACGAAATAGCACAGCCACAAAATATAAATTGGTAACTATATGAAAACAACAATGAGCTTTTTGGTCTTAATTTAAGGTTAGGCATACGGTTAGCAGTGTGGTTAAGGTTAAGTTTAAGTTTAAAATCACATATTAAGAATATAAATTGTAGAAATCATTGTTTAGATTTATGATTTTGTGGCTGTGACAACTAGTGACGACCCTGCACTGGCGAGTAATCCTTAAAACCGGAAATGAGTTACCTCTGGTTCGTTCAGCCATGGGGAAAATGAATGGAGGAAAGAATAGGGTTTTGGATAGACGATGATAAGGTCTGAGGTTAACACAGGTTTAGGAGATTTTACAAGTTTTGTTCTATGAGATATTAGTCAGTTAACATTACCGTATTTTCGACGTTTATCCAAAAACCCTACAAAAACTCCATTCATTTCCCCATAGGCTTTGTCCAACGAACCAGGATGGAGTTAGTGCCAACAAAAATGCACCATTATTATTGCTCTATCGGTATATCCATAATCTTTGTCTATAGAATAGCTGTCGTGCCCTCAACCAAGCTTGACAATGCTTTGACCGCTATTAGACGACAGTTGTGTAGTGGGAAGTGCGAATGGGGTCTTAACCAATCAGAAGACTCACTTTCAGTGTCAAACAATGTAAAATCCAATCACAGCGGGCTATCGGCAAAGGTGTGTAATATCCATCCCATGGACACAAGTTGAAGCATCGTTACATTGTGTTATTTCTGGACAAGGAGTTGCACGGTGGACAATTGGACCTAATGCATCTCGGCAAATTAATGCGTCTGATTTGTTTTTAGCTGGAGACTTCCGACCTTTTTCCGCGCATCCGGACGTAAAACTAGGCGCTGTGGAGACCGCCTCAAATAGGAGTCTATGACTGGTGCAGCGCATACAAAGCCAGAAGTAGGCTACCACTCGCTGTCAGGACTACTGTTTTTGTTGATGTCATCGGTGGCCGTGTTTGAACCGGAGCGACCGTCAATTTATAGTCAGGATTACTAGAATAACAAAATATAGCATACAATAAAAGTGGTGTTTTTGCCGCACAGTGAATATGGGAGTTCTGGCGCACTGTGTTGTTATTTTTATATTCCAGCATTTGACGTCCGCTTATGATTTTAAAGAAGGACTATATAACAACGGACAGTATGAATTTGTGAAAGATCCCAGTTTGAATATCGAAAAGAGATCACCGGATTTAGATTTAGAACAGTTTGACTCTGAATCATCTGACCACATTAGGACCAGGAGAAGTGCGGATCAAGGGGACTGTAAAAGTCTCCAGGGATTCGACACCAAGTTGACTAACAACACCCAAACCGTAAGTTAACCCCGCAGGTCCGGTTAGGTTACACTCACCGATATAATAGGCTAATGTTCTGCAGGCGACACTTTACCTCGACAATTATCCTCATAATAAGAACATGACTACCCCCCCCCTTCTCAAATGACTTGGGTTTTAACATTGCACCTGATCTGTTACGGTTACCATTCAACTAACCACATATCATAATCTATTCTCCAGTTTTGTGCAACACTTCTTGCATGAGATCAATTTTTCATGTTTGACTCACTCAACCGTGGTCAAGCCAGTCCTTACAAAAAAATATTGCAGTTTTGAAACTGCAGTAAAAGTGCAGTAACTGCAGTCTACTGTGGTATTTTGGACGCATTTGCTGCATACTGCAGATATACTGCACTTTGACTGCAATATTTTTTTCGTGTGGATCCATAATAAATACAAATACAAATCAAGATAAATGTTTATTTGTTACATGCTTCCTAGACAAGTGTAGACTAACAGTGAAACACTTACCCTTTCCCCCCCTTAATTTACAGATCCTTTTCCGACAATGCAGGCTTGACACAAGTAGGCTACTGGAGTTAAACATTACTTCAACCCCATAACGAGCAGGACTATGGGTTATAATCTTCAGTTTAGCATCTCTGGAGATAATTGTTTAAGGGTGCCTGTAAATCATTTATCAAGTTTAATCTTAAGTGAGTTTAGCATACAGTTTGTCTTCTGTAATACAGTATAGAAATACAAAGAGCAGTTTAAATGTTTTATCCTGCCCAGTGCCTTACTGCATTGAGGCCATTCTGTAGTCTCTAGTCTGGTGTAAACATATACTTATGTGTCTCCAGTTACTCCTGTCTCTCAACTGTTCCCTCTCTAATGGGAATGAGTCTGAGCTATATTTCCCCATAGGAATGATGCTGCTGTACTTCATACTGGGCCTGGCATAGCTACCTTGTTTTCACATTGCATAAAACTAGCATTCTTTATCTATGTAAGCTATAGAGAATAGGTGTAACCCAGTGTACGTTTGATGGTATGATGGTGGTGTACTTCATACTAGGAATGACCTAACTCTAGACTATGCCAGGCCTAGATGGTCAAATATCCTGTGTAGTCTATGGAGGGCATTTCATATCCTGTGTAGTCTATGGAGGGTATTTCATATCCTGTGTAGTCTATGGAGGGCCTTTCATATCCTGTGTAGTCTATGGAGGGCCTTTCATATCCTGTGTAGTCTATGGAGGGCATTTCATATCCTGTGTAGTCTATGGAGGGCATTTCATATCCTGTGTAGTCTATGGAGGGCATTTCATATCCTGTGTAGTCTATGGAACGTTATTTCATATCCTTTGTAGTCTATGGAGGGCATTTCATATCCTGTGTAGTCTATGGAGGGCATTTCATATCCTGTGTAGTCTATGGAGGGCATTTCATATCCTGTGTAGTCTATGGAGGGCCTTTCATATCCTGTGTAGTCTATGGAGGGCATTTCATATCCTGTGTAGTCTATGGAGGGCATTTCATATCCTGTGTAGTCTATGGAGGGCATTTCATATCCTGTGTAGTCTATGGAGGGCATTTCATATCCTGTGTAGTCTATGGAGGGCATTTCATATCCTGTGTAGTCTATGGAGGGCATTTCATATCCTGTGTAGTCTATGGAACGTTATTTCATATCCTTTGTAGTCTATGGAGGGTATTTAATATCCTGTTTTTCAAGAAAGTACAGGTGTCATCAGGTGTGAGTTTGGTCGTTAAGCATTTAGGTTATCAAATTCACACATGCAAACCTTGTAGTTCATACATTTACATTTTACTCATTTAGCAGACATTTTTCATACTGCCCCCCCCCCCCCCCCCCGTGGGAATCGAACCCACAACCCTGGCGTTAAGCGGGACTACACTATACTGTAGTTCATACTGTAGTTGAGGCTACGTTGTGTTCACGTTCTGGCTCAGTGTGTCTGGATGGTAAAATAGGCTAACGTGATAGGCTTAGACATATAGGGGAAGGGAGTGTTTTGTTGTTATGTTAATACAGGTACAGATGCTACTGTTTCTGCTTCTGACATTTACAAGAGGCTACTTGGCAGAACTGATGAGAGTTGGGAGTAGGCCCATATTATTCGTTTTTTCGTGACTATACGTTGTAAGACATTTAGACTATGCATTAGGCCTATAGGCAGAACTGATGAGAGTTGGGAGTAGGCCCATATTATTCGTTTTTTCGTGACTATACGTTGTAAGACATTTAGACTATGCATTAGGCCTATGGGCAGAACTGATGAGAATTGGGAGTGTATCATGAACTTGCCACAGACTGTCTTTCTTAACGATGTTGTCCTCAAACACCCTGTAGCCAGCTCTTCCTTAGAGCGTAGTCTAATTTCAGATCACCAGATGTCCTTGAAGCAAGGGCTATATTACTATCTGGCTGTGTTAACACAGGACAAGGGTAGAGCAAATATAACAACATCTTACCCAATGCATCCGTGGTCTACTCGGATAACAGACAGCATACCCACAGACACCTTGTTGATTTTAGTTCGTAGTTCCTGGTAATAATTTGTGTATGTCCTGTTCTTGATTGTCCTTACCCCTGTCCTTCATTTCCTTCTAGCAAGTAGCAACAACTTATAAGATGTGCTTGCTTCTAAATAATACGTTCCTCCTATGTATGAATGTTGTTATTACACATTGGCTACATCATACATAAGGAAGCTTGACATGATTCAGCAGTGGTAACGCTTATATTTTCTGCATCTGATGAACCACCAGGCCCCTGAGGGAAAAGATCAGGGACACCACATCCTGTACCCTAGTTAACCTCTGACAATGAACAATCAGCTTTATAGTCAGTCCTTGGCAACAAGTTGTAGGTCTCTGAACCAACCGTGAATAGGACTATATTTCCAAACAATGACCACCTTACAAATTACGGGCTTCCCAAAACAAAATGCATGAATTCATTGCTATACATACCATATCCTGTTGTCACAGATCTTCTTAGAGTCATGCACTGATAATGATTTACATAGTTTCAGATCTAATGCCACTAGCCATTCATCCAGCCATTCCAACACCATAGACTTTGCATAGTTTCTCCGTCCCAGCCAGACCTTGAACCCAAAGGCAGGGTTATGGGTAATCTAGAGACTAAATATGTGTCCCAAATGGCCCACTTTTCCATTTTGGCCCTGGTGAAAAGTAGGGAACTTTATAGTGATTAGGGTGCCATTTTGGATTAACTCTAAAGACTGAAGGCAGAATTTCAAGAGGCTCACCTTAAATTCCCCCATAGGTCCAACATACTCCTGTTTGGGTACCGTACAGCATAGTTCCCACTGCAGCTTTAAGCAGACCTGGGTTTAAATACTATTTGAAATATTTCAAATCTATTAAATACTTTGAGAGTTTGCCTGGAGTGCCAGGTGAGCAGGGTTTGTACTTTTGGGACTGGTCTATTGGTTTCATTGCAACAGGCAATCTCAATCAAGCACAGATGAAGTATTTAAAATAATTTCAAATAGTATTTGAACCCAGGTCTGGTTTATAGATGGGGCTGCCCGGATGTGGCCTGGGCCTAATCTATGAATGTCCACATAGAGTAGAGTAACCGCTTGATGAGATTAAGAGTTTAAGTATCTTATTCTGGTTAGCTAGCAGCACCAGCAGCTCCGGTCAGAAATCCAATGCTTTGGTTTAGTTTCCCTGGCACTGTTTCCACATGCTAATGTTTTAGCAGTTGTAGCACAAATCCCATTCAAGTCATGGTAACGATATTAGCATTTTTCACACATCATTTTCAAATCCTCTATAAGTGACTTTGTTGAGCTTCACAATACATTTTAGATACTTTCGGATGATTTGGACAAAAACGCTAATATCGGTACCAGCCAGGACTTGATTGGATTCATGCCACAACTGCTAAAACGTTAGCATGTGGAAACAGTGCCAGGGAAACTAAACCAAAGCATGGATTGCTGTCATACCTTACAGGGTAAGGAAAACAACATGTAATTTTGTAATTTGGATGAACTATCCCTTTAAGTAAGTGCATGTTTGACTCTTCTTCTAAAGAGGATTTGGCAGTTGATTGACAGTTGGGATTGGTTGTACTATAGTGCAGCCTCCTACTGTGAGGATGTTTGGTCCAAGGCCTACTGGTCTGGTCTGGTCTGGTCTGGTCTGGTCTGGCCTACTGGTCTGGCCTACTGGTCTGGTCTGGTCTGGTCTGGCCTACTGGTCTGGCCTACTGGTCTGTCTGGTCTGGTCTGGTCTGGCCTACTGGTCTGGCCTACTGGTCTGTCTGGTCTGGTCTGGTCTGGCCTACTGGTCTGGCCTACTGGTCTGTCTGGTCTGGTCTGGTCTGGCCTACTGGTCTGGTCTGGTCTGGTCTGGCCTACTGGTCTGGTCTGGTCTGGCCTACTGGTCTGGTCTGGTCTGGCCTACTGGTCTGTCTGGTCTGGTCTACTGGTCTGGTCTGGCCTGGTCTGTCTGGTCTGGTCTACTGGTCTGGTCTGGCCTGGCCTACTGGTCTGTCTGGTCTGGTCTACTGGTCTGGTCTGGCCTGGTCTGGTCTGGTCTGGCCTACTGGTCTGGCCTACTGGTCTGGCCTACTGGTCTGGCCTACTGGTCTGGCCTACTGGTCTGTCTGGTCTGGTCTGGCCTACTGGTCTGGTCTGGTCTGGCCTACTGGTCTGTCTGGTCTGGTATGGCCTACTGGTCTGGTCTGGCCTACTGGTCTGTCTGGTCTGGCCTACTGGTCTGGTCTGGCCTACTGGTCTGTCTGGCCTACTGGTCTGTCTGGTCTGGTCTGGTCTGGCCTACTGGTCTGGTCTGGCCTACTGGTCTGTCTGGTCTGGTCTGGCCTACTGGTCGGTCTGGTCTGGCCTACTGGTCTGGTCTGGTCTGGCCTACTGGTCTGGTCTGGCCTTCTGGTCTGGTCTGGTCTGTACATTATAGTGATGCTTTGTAACCGTTGGGGATCTGGAGAGTGAGAGGCAGCGGTATGGCACAGCAGTAGGGAGGGAAAGGTCGTTAGGTTCACTTGTGCACAAACACAAACGAACACAATAGTTCTGTTACGTAGCTATTTGGGCACTTTTTAAAGTCAAATTAGGCGTATGACTTTAATACACTATATATACAAAAGTATGTGGACACCCCTTCAAATTAGTGGATTCGGCTATTTCAGCCACACCCGTTGCTGACAGGTGTATAAAATCGAGCACACAGCCATGCAATCTCCATAGACAAACATTGGCAGTAGAACGGCCTTACTGAAGAACTCAGTGATCTTCAACGTCATAAGATGCCACCTTTCCAACAAGTCAGTTCGTCAAATTTCTGCCTTGCTAGAGCTGCCCCGGTCAACGGTAAGTGCTGTTATTGTGAAGTGGAAACATCTAGGAGCAACAACGGCTCAGCCGCGAAGTGGTAGGCCACACAAGCTTACAGAACGGGATCGGCAAGTGCTGAAGCGCGTAGCTCGTAAAAATTGATCCTTGGTTGCAACACTCACAACCGAGTTCCAAACTGCCTCTGGAAGCAACGTCAGCACAAGAACTGTTCGTTGGGAACTTCATGAAATGGGTTTCCATGGCCGAGCAGCCGCACACAAGCCTAAGATCACCATGCGCAATGCCAAGCGTCGGCTGGAGTGGTGTAAGCCTCCCGAGTGGCGCAGTGGTCTAAGGCACTGCATCGCAGTGCTAGCTGTGCCACTAGAGATCCTGGTTCGAATCCAGGCTCTGTCGTAGCCGGCCGCGACCGGGAGACCCATGGGGCGGCGCACAATTGGCCCAGCATCGTCCAGGGTAGGGGAGGCAATGGCCGGCAGGGATGTAGCTCAGTTGGTAGAGCATGGCGTTTGCAACGCCAGGGCTGTGGGTTCGATTCCCACGGGGGGCCAGTATGAATTATATTTTTTTATAATGTATGCACTCACTAACTGTAAGTCGCTCTGGATAAGAGCGTCTGCTAAATGACTAAAATGTAAATGTGTAAAGCTTGCCGCCATTGGACTCTGGAGCAGTGGAAACGCGTTCTCTGGAGTGATGAATCACGCTTCACTATCTGGCAGTCCGACGGACGAATCTAGGTTTGGCGGATGCCAGGAGAACGATACCTTCCTGAATGCATAGTGCCAACTGTAAAGTTTGGTGGAGGAGGAATAATGATCTGGGGCTGTTTTTCATGGTTCCGGCTAGGCCCCTTAGTTTCAGTGAAGGGAAATCTTAACGCTACAGCATATAATGACATTCTAGACGATTCTGTGCTTCCAACTTTGTGGCAACAGTTTGGGGAAGGCCCTTTCCTGTTTCAGCATGACAATGCCCCTGTGCACAAAGCAAGGTCCATACAGAAATGGTTTGTCGAATCGGTGTGGAAGAACTTGACTGGCCAGCACAGAGCCCTGACCTCAACCCCATCAAACACCTTTGGGATAAATTGGAACGCCGACTGCGAGCCAGGCCTAATCGCCCAACCTCAGTGCCCGACCTCACTAATGCTCTTCTAGCTGAATGGAAGCAAGTCCCCGCAGCAATGTTCCAACATCTACATTTACATTACATTTTAGTCATTTAGCAGACGCTCTTATCCAGAGCGACTTACGAGTGCATACATTATTATTATATTTTTAATTTTTTCATACTGGCCCACCGTGGGACTCGAACCCACAACCCTGGCATTGCAAACGCCATGCTCTACCAACTGAGCTACATGCCGGCCATTCCCTCCCCTACCCTGGACGACCCTGGGCCAATTGTGCGCCGCCCCATGGGTCTCCCGGTCACGGCCGGCTACGACAGAGCCTGGGCTCGAACCATGATCTCTAGTGGCACAGCTAGCACTGCGATGCAGTGCCTTAGACCACTGCGCCAGAAGGGTGGAGGCTGTTATAGCAGCAAAGGGGGGACCAACTCTGTATTAATGCCCATGATTTTGGAATGAGATGTTCGACGAGCAGGTGTCCACATATTTTTTGACCGTGTAGCGTATACCCTTATTACATTATTAGATCTGCTGCAGGTAATATTGAAGAGCGTGTATGTCTAGAGACGACTGCTGTATGACACGCTGCATGACTAATGTGATGGCTTCCTTCCTTTTTAATGATGTAATAAATAATAAATAATAAAAATAGTCTTATTTTCTCTCTTTTCTTGTCAGTATTCCTTCGACGACCTGAGTGGGTCCGTGTCACTGGCCTGGGTCGGAGACGCCACCGGGGTGAGTTTTACTATCCCAATGTTCCATTCTGTCCCAATTTACGTGCTGATTTTTAGTTTTTTAATGATCATTATGTGTCAAACCAGGGTCTCAAACTCATAGATGGAATACAGGTGTTCCATACTAAAGCAGTAAGGCCCGAGGGGGTGTGGTATATGGCCAGGACAGCCTTTAGCCGTGGTATATTGGCCATATACCACCATCCACCGAGGGGACTTGTTGCTATTATAAACTGGTTACCAATGTAATTAGAACAGTAAAAATCAATGTTTTGTCATACCCGTGGTATACAGTCTCACATACTACGGCTTTCAGCCAATCAGCATTCAGGGCTCGAACCACCCAGTTTATACTAGTCCTTACAGGTGTTCTGTACTAGTCCTTACAGGTGTTCTGTACTAGTCCTTACAGGTGTTCTGTACTAGTCCTTACAGGTGTTCTGTACTAGTCCTTACAGGTGTTCTGTACTAGTCCTTACAGGTGTTCTGTACTAGTCCTTACAGGTGTTCTGTACTAGTCCTTACAGGTGTTCTGTACTAGTCCTTACAGGTGTTCTGTACTAGTCCTTACAGGTGTTCTGTACTAGTCCTTACAGGTGTTCTATACTAGTCCTTACAGGTGTTCTATACTAGTCCTTACAGGTGTTCTGTACTAGTCCTTACAGGTGTTCTGTACTAGTCCTTACAGGTGTTCTGTACTAGTCCTTACAGGTGTTCTGTACTAGTCCTTACAGGTGTTCTGTACTAGTCCTTACAGGTGTTCTGTACTAGTCCTTACAGGTGTTCTATACTAGTCCTTACAGGTGTTCTTTACTAGTCCTTACAGGTGTTCTGACTTGTTCTCTACAGGTCATTCTGGCTCTGACAACATTCCAGGTGCCGTTCTTCATGTTGAGATTCGGTCAGTCTAAACTCTATCGAAGGTAAGGGTTCTTCATGTTGAGATTCGGTCAGTCTAAACTCTATTGAAGGTAAGGGTTCTTCATGTTGAGATTCGGTCAGTCTAAACTCTATCGAAGGTAAGGGTTCTTCATGTTGAGATTCGGTCAGTCTAAACTCTATCGAAGGTAAGGGTTCTTCATGTTGAGATTCTGTCAGTCTAAACTCTATCGAAGGTAAGGGTTGTTCATGTTGAGATTCGGTCAGTCTAAACTCTATCGCAGTTATGAGCAGACTGATTCACCACCAGTTATGTCGGAAGAATGTCCGTGTAAGAATACAGATATTCTTTGAGCTGACAACTGGTTAAATATTAAAAGTGTGTGTATTTGGAAAAGAGTGTCCTATTTGACCGCCTCACCTCCTTCTCTTCCCCCTCAGTGAGAACTATGGGAAGTCGTTCCAGGACGTCACAAACCTCATCAACAACACTTTCATCAGGACAGAGTTCGGCATCGCCATCGGACCAGAGAACTCTGGGAAGGTAAGAAGCGTTTTGTGTTTAGAACCTATGAACTAGCCTATAAGAAACACTTTACTGAAATCTTTGTTACTTTTCTAAGCTTTATAATAAGGCTTAAAAAATATGGTATGTCTCCATATGTAGCAAAAGGCTGTTCAATGTTCAGAATAGTTGTAGAAGTTAATTTGGTTTGCCTGGCCTGCTCCTCCCAGGTGATCCTGACAGGTGATGTGTCTGGCAGCCTGGGCTCTCGTATCTTTCTCTCCAGAGACTTTGGGAACAGCTTTGAGCAGCAGGACCTTCCCTTCAACCCCCTGATGCAGATCATATACAACCCCAGAGACGCCAATGTTCTCCTGGTCATCAGCAACACTGTGAGTGTGTATGTTTGTGTGTATGTTTGTGTGTGTTTGTGTGTGCTTGCGTATGGAAACTGAGGAGTAGTACAAAATATTTGTACTTCTCCTAATACCCAGTACTTTATCCAGTATCAGTACTTTATCAGTACTTTTACACACCTGTCGTCTGGCCAGTCTCAGGATTGACGAGCTGCTCAGAGCCTCTTTATCTAAGGCCTTATTCCCACTACGAGAGATGAAGGAGAGCGGAGTGGAGAAAGAGATATCTACTTTCAATTCACATCCTATATTATTATATATACTATATAATTCATGTTACATCCTTGCCTTACCTTTTGTTGTGGCTGGCAACGTGACATTCTTGGTTTGCAGCTCAAATTTACTGTAAATATCACAGTAGCCACTAGCCAGTAAGCTATTCAACAATCCAATCCAAAAATTTATAATAATAATAATAATAATATATATTATTAATATATAATCTCAATTTAATCAATTTAAAATTCAGACTAACACAACAAAATGTGGAATAAGTCAAGGGGTATGAAAACGTTCTGAAGGCGCTGCAGCTATCTAGCAGGAGTTAGCTGTGTGTTGTCAGCCAATTGAATCTAGCAGGAGTTAGCTGTGTGTTGTCAGCCAATTGAATCTAGCAGGAGTTAGCTGTGTGTTGTCAGCCAATTGAATCTAGCAGGAGTTAGCTGTGTGTTGTCAGCCAATTGAATCTAGCAGGAGTTAGCTGTGTGTTGTCAGCCAATTGAATGTGTTCGGATGAGAAACTAAACCCTTTAATAGTCTGCACATGCTTGTGAATTGTTGCATTATTCAATAGCGTAATATATTTTCAGAGGTAGACTGGCTCTGGCAGCCAAAACCGCTAAATACTCCCATCTAAACATGAATCGATTCTCAATTGTAATATGGTTCTAGAAACATAAAGCCCTTTACTTTAATATCACATCAAAATAATTTCACTAATGCAAAATATACCCTTACTGTACACTGTGTTAACCGGCTTCATCACAGTTGCAGAAGACAGTATTATTCAGTGACAAAACATTTCTATGGCCTTCTTCCATTCCACACAGGTGTTCGGAGCACGCTAGATAGCTAATTAGCACAGGTGGTCCCTCTGTCTTCCGTCTGTCTTCTGTAAACACAGAGATATCACCGTGTGGGAACACTAACCCTATAAAGATGTGTATCAATTCAACCTTAAAAAATAAAAAGTATTATTATTATTTCTCGCTGATATGAAAGATAAGGTCTTTATGCTTCCAAAAACGTATTGCAAGCGATGCGTGTTAATGTTCAGACCGAGCGTCGGGGCTCTTAACAAATCCACTCTGTACAGAAGACGTCTTCGTCCAATGACTCTTATGTGTAATGTAATGGAACTGAGAGTCATGATCAAGGGCTAACTAACATTTACATTACATTTAAGTCATTTAGCTTGCAGCTGTAATTGCTGCAAAAGGTGGCTCTACAAACATTTAAGTCATTTAGCAGATGCTCTTCGACTTACAAATTGGTGCATTCAACTTAGGATAGCCAGTGGGACAACCACCACTCGGGGAGGGGGGTGTAGAAGGATTACTGTTAGACTATTCCAGGTATTCCTTAAAGAGGTAGGGTTTCAAGTGTCTCCGGAAGGTGGTCAGTGACTCCGCTGTCCTGGCGTCGTGGGGGAGCTTGTTCCACCATTGGGGTGCCAGGGCAGCGAATAGCTTTGACTGGGCTGAGCGGGAACTGTGCTTCCGTAGAGGTAGGGGGGCTAGCAGTGCCCTCGTTTGGGTGTAGGGTCTGATCTGAGCCTGAAGGTAAGGAGGTACTGTTCCCCTCACAGCTCCGTAGGCAAGCACCATGGTTTTGTAGTAGATGCGAGCCTCAACTGGAAGCCAGTGGAGTGTGCGGAGGAGCGGGGTGACATGAGAGAACTTGGGAAGGTTGAACACCAGGCGTCTGCAGCGTTCTGGATAAGTTGTAGGGGTTTAATGGCACAGGCAGGGAGCCCAGCCAACAGCGAGTTGCAGTAATCCAGACGGGAGATGACAAGTGCCTGGCCTAGATGACAAGTGCCTGGATTAGGAACTGTGCCGCTAACAACATGATCAAGTAACGTTAGTATATCAATAATTAACATTTACCCCTCCCATACGAATATAGTACAGTAACTTAGTCATAGTGTCATTCATATTATAATATAGGCTACACAGCTAGGTAACATTAGCTAGCTAGCTAAAGTGTTGGTCCCATGTTTCATGAGCTGAAATAAAAGATCCCACACATGTTGTGCACACATTTTTTTTTACATCCCTGTTAGTGAGCATTTCTCCTTTGCCAAGATAATCCATCCACCTGACAGGTGTGGCATATCAAGAAGCTGATTAAACAGCATGATCATTACACAGGTGCACCTTGTGCTGGGGACAATAAAAGGAAACTTTTTTGTTACACAACACAATGCCACAAGTTTTGAGGGAGCGTGCAATTTGCATGTGGGCGAGCGGTTTGCTGATGTCAACGTTGTGAACAGAGAGCCCCATGGTGGGGTTATGGTATGGGCAGGCATAAGCTACGGACAACGAACACAATTGCATTTTATCAATGGCAATTTGAATGCACAGAGATACCGTGATGAGATCCTGAGGCCCATTGTGAGGCCCATTTTCTTTAAGGTATCTGTGACCAACAGATGCATATCTGTATTCCCAGTCATGTGAAATCCATATATTAGGGCCTAATGAATTTATTTCAATTGACTGATTTCCTCATATGAACTGTAACTCAGTAAAATCTTTGAAATTGTTGCATGTTGCATTTATATTTTTGTTCAGAACAAACCAGGCTTCATTTGATCAATATCATGGAAGTCATTATATGAGGTAAAAGCAAATTGCCACTGAAAACGTTGATGGGGAGTTTCTTTATTGCAGGAAAGCAACAACAAAAAATGCTGTTGAGATTTAAAGCTACGGCGACATCTTCAAAATGTAACGGCTGTTACTACAATTACAGTTAAACTCAATAAAACAAGTCTTAAAAATAAAGAAAATGTCTTTACATTTCAAAAACATTGCTCTGCTATATAAAAAAATAAATACTGTAAGAATGTTGGCTCAACGAGACAATTCTGTTTACACTGCCTCACTTAGAGGGCAACTGTCGGGCGAGCATGGCTCTAAAGCACTGGTGCTTCCAACTTAAAGTAAGGAGCACCACATGATAGATTTAGAACGGCCCATGACATGGTTTATGAATGTTTAAATGCGCTATAGGAAGATACAAATGTGGTGCCGGTAATATGGGTCAGATCTTTTGACCTGGTTGGGTTAGAAGCAAACCGTTTTCGCTGTATTAATGGTGCAACCATGACGCTATCGAATCTGCACTCACTTCGTTCTCTTATTTAAAAAAATAACTTTTCTCCCCAATTTCGTGGTATCCAATTGGTAGCTACAGTCTTGTCCCATCGCTGCAACTTCCGTACATATTCGCGAGAGGCGACGGTTGAGAGCCGTGCGTCCTCCGAAACACAACTCTGCCGAGCCGCACTGCTTCTTGACACAATGCCCGCTTAACCCGGAAGCCAGCCGCACCAATGTGTCGGAGGAAACACCGTACACCTGGCGACCGTGTCAGCGTGCACTGCGCCCGGCCCGCCACAGGAGTCGTTAGTGCGCGATGGGACAAGAACATGCCAGCCAAACCCTCCCCTAGCCTGGACGACGCTGGGCCAATTGTACGCCGCCCCATGGGTCTCCCGGTCGCGGCCGGCTGCGACAGAGCCTGGATTCGAACCAGGATCTCTAGTGGCACAACCTTAGACCACTGCGCCACTCGGGAGGCCCTCACTTGTTTCTCTAAGGCCCTCTGAAACAATGGTCAGGGAAGCCTTATCATCACAACAATTATTATCTGGTCGCACTTTGAGCCTGCGGGAACGAGTGTCCAAGCCCGGCGTCCAACCTACGTCCGGAGGGTGAACAAACGTTCGCAACTTTACAGTAATATGTGTAGCCGAGGGTATTTTAGCAAAAAGTGTGAAGACCCTCTAAATCCCTTCATAATCTGACTCAGTAGCAGGTCTGACTCAGTAGCAGGTCTGACTCAGTAGCAGGTCTGACTCAGTAGCAGGTCTGACTCAGTAGCAGGTCTGACTCAGTAGCAGGTCTGACTCAGTAGCAGGTCTGACTCAGTAGCAGGTCTGACTCAATAGCAGGTCTGACTCAGTAGCAGGTCTGTTAAATGTGTCAGAGGTGGATAGTCAAGCTGTGGGAATCCAAACAAAACTAGAGAGAACATTACTGGCGCCATATCTTTTGTTGCGTATGTATATATTTTGAATACCCTTGTAAACCCTTTAACCCTTTACAGAATGAACTCTGGCTGTCTGAGGACTTTGGAGAGAACTGGAGGAAGATCCATGACATGGTGTGTCTGGCCAAATGGTAAGAGACAACAACTTTAGGTAAATATATTAAGAATAGAGTTAGCAGAAGAACCCGTCCTTACATGGCTGCCACAGGGTGAGTTTTTTATATAGGATCTATTAGCAGCCAGTTATCCCATTGCTCATGGTCTGTTTGATTTCCTATAATGAGCTCTGTTGTTATGTAGACTGTACTAAATGTTCCTTTCCTCTGTTGTTATGTAGACTGTACTGAATGTTCCTTTCCTCTGTTGTTATGTAGACTGTACTGAATGTTCCTTTCCTCTGTTGTTATGTAGACTGTACTGAATGTTCCTTTCCTCTGTTGTTATGTAGACTGTACTGAATGTCCCTTTCCTCTGTTGTTATGTAGACTGTACTGAATGATCCTTTCCTCTGTTGTTATGTAGACTGTACTGAATGTTCCTTTCCTCTGTTGTTATGTAGACTGTACTGAATGTTCCTTTCCTCTGTTGTTATGTAGACTGTACTGAATGATCCTTTCCTCTGTTGTTATGTAGACTGTACTGAATGTTCCTTTCCTCTGTTGTTATGTAGACTGTACTGAATGTTCCCTTTCCTCTGTTGTTATGTAGACTGTACTGAATGTCCCTTTCCTCTGTTGTTATGTAGACTGTACTGAATGTTCCTTTCCTCTGTTGTTATGTAGACTGTACTGAATGTTCCTTTCCTCTGTTGTTATGTAGACTGTACTGAATGTTCCTTTCCTCTGTTGTTATGTAGACTGTACTGAATGTTCCTTTCCTCTGTTGTTATGTAGACTGTACTGAATGTTCCTTTCCTCTGTTGTTATGTAGACTGTACTGAATGTTCCTTTCCTCTGTTGTTATGTAGACTGACTCAGTACCTCAGGTTGATTTGGTGGAGTTATATTTGCTTGACCTCTTCCCCCTCTGCCAGCTAGCCGATTCATTTTAGATTTAGCATGTTCAGGGGTGAAGGTAAGGCGGTACGGTCCAGTACAGCGTCCCTGCAAAGGAGACACCGTACCAGTAAAACATGAGCTTATCACAATAATTTAAAACAAAATGTCAAGAAAACTGTCGGCTATTACACCATTATTTATCATTATTATTTATCATTAGGCATGAAAAATTTGCGAATGGACTTCAAAACGTGTGGTAGAGCCTACGCTCCAAAACGATGAGAACACCAAGGCAGAGATGACTGGTTGTGTTTATGCCACAATAAAAGGGAATACAGTTTAAACGTTAAATTACAAATCTTTACGACTAGGCCCACAGAGATCCTATAGAATTAATAGGGATTCTACAGTGAAGGAAAAAAGTATTTGATCCCCTGCTGATTTTGTACGTTTGCCCACTGACAAAGAAATGATCAGTCTATAATTTTAATGGTAGGTTTATTTGAACAGTGAGAGACAGAATAACAACAAAGAAATCCAGAAAAACGCATGTCAAAAATGTTATAAATTGATTTGCATTTTAATGAGGGAAATAAGTATTTGACCCCCTCTCAATCAGAAAGATTTCTGGCTCCCAGGTGTCTTTTATACAGGTAACGAGCTGAGATTAGGAGCACACTCTTAAAGGGAGTGCTCCTAATCTCAGCTTGTTACCTGTATAAAAGACACCTGTCCACAGAAGCAATCAATCAATCAGATTCCAAACTCTCCACCATGGCCAAGACCAAAGAGCTCTCCAAGGATATCAGGGACAAGATTATAGACCTATACAAGGCTGGAATGGGCTACAAGACCATCGCCAAGCAGCTTGGTGAGAAGGTGACAACAGTTGGTGCGATTATTCGCAAATGGAAGAAACACAAAATAACTGTCAATCTCCCTCGGCCTGGGACTCCATGCAAGATCTCACCTCGTGGAGTTGCAATGATCATGAGAACGGTGAGGAATCAGCCCAGAACTACACGGGAGGATCTTGTCAATGATCTCAAGGCAGCTGGGACCATAGTCACCAAGAAAACAATTGGTAACAGACTACGCCGTGAAGGACTGAAATCCTGCTGCGCCCGCAAGGTCCCCCTGCTCAAGAAAGCACATATACATGCCCGTCTGAAGTTTGCCAATGAACATCTGAATGATTCAGAGGAGAACTGGGTGAAAGTGTTGTGGCAGATGAGACCAAAATGGAGCTCTTTGGCATCAACTCAACTCGCCGTGTTTGGAGGAGGAGGAATGCTGCCTATGACCCCAAGAACACCATTCCCACCGTCAAACATGGAGGTGGAAACATTATGCTTTGGGGGTGTTTTTCTGCTAAGGGGACAGGACAACTTCACCGCATCAAAGGGACGATGGACGGGGCCATGTACCGTCAAATCTTGGGTGAGAACCTCCTTCCCTCAGCCAGGGCATTGAAAATGGGTTGTGGATGGGTATTCCAGCATGACAATGACCCAAAACATTTACATTTACATTACATTTTAGTCATTTAGCAGACGCTAAATGACAGAACATCTGTGGAAGGAGCTGAAGGTTCGAGTTGCCAAACATCAGGCTCGAAACCTTAATGACTTGGAGAAGATCTGCAAAGAGGAGTGGGACAAAATCCCTCCTGAGATGTGTGCAACCCTGGTGGCCAACTACAAGAAACGTCTGACCTCTGTGATTGCCAACAAGGGTTTTGCCACCAAGTACTAAGTCATGTTTTGCAGAGGGGTCAAATACTTATTTCCCTCATTAAAATACAAATCAATTTATAACATTTTTGACATGCGTTTTTCTGGATTATTTTGTTGTTATTCTGTCTCTCACTGTTAAAATAAACCTACCATTAAAATTATAGACTGATCATTTCTTTGTCAGTGGGCAAACGTACAAAATCAGCAGGGGATCAAATACTTTTTTCCCTCACTGTATATGTAATTCTGAGGTCCCGTACCGGGAAGAAATTACATCTACTTTCATCCCTGAGTATGTTGAATAAACATCCAATACTTCCCCCACTGTTGTCAGGGCACCATACAAACAGTAGAAGCAGGCAGTAAACTGGAATTGCAGTTATGTTAGTTAGTATTTGACTAGGTGTTCTCTGGACCAAGCCCTATGTTAGTTAGTGTTTGACTAGGTGTTCTCTGGACCAAGCCCTATGTTAGTTAGTGTTTGACTAGGTGTTCTCTGGGACAAGCCCTATGTTAGTTAGTGTTTGACTAGGTGTTCTCTGGGACAAGCCCTATGTTAGTTAGTGTTTGACTAGGTGTTCTCTGGACCAAGCCCCGTGTTAGTTAGTGTTTGACTAGGTGTTCTCTGGACCAAGCCCTATGTTAGTTAGTGTTTGACTAGGTGTTCTCTGGACCAAGCCCTATGTTAGTTAGTGTTTGACTAGGTGTTCTCTGGGACAAGCCCTATGTTAGTTAGTGTTTGACTAGGTGTTCTCTGGGACAAGCCCTATGTTAGTTAGTGTTTGACTAGGTGTTCTCTGGACCAAGCCCTATGTTAGTTAGTGTTTGACTAGGTGTTCTCTGGACCAAGCCCCATGTTAGTTAGTATTTGACTAGGTGTTCTCTGGACCAAGCCCTATGTTAGTTAGTGACTAGGTGTTCTCTGGACCAAGCCCTATGTTAGTTAGTGTTTGACTAGGTGTTCTCTGGACCAAGCCCCATGTTAGTTAGTGTTTGACTAGGTGTTCTCTGGGCCAAGCCCTATGTTAGTTAGTGTTTGACTAGGTGTTCTCTGGACCAAGCCCCGTGTTAGTTAGTGTTTGACTAGGTGTTCTCTGGACCAAGCCCCGTGTTAGTTAGTGACTAGGTGTTTTCTGGACCAAGCCCCATGTTAGTTAGTTAGTGACTAGGTGTTCTCTGGACCAAGCCCCGTGTTAGTTAGTGTTTGACTAGGTGTTCTCTGGACCAAGCCCTATGTTAGTTAGTGTTTGACTAGGTGTTCTCTGGACCAAGCCCTATGTTAGTTAGTGTTTGACTAGATGTTCTCTGGGACAAGCCCTATGTTAGTTAGTGTTTGACTAGGTGTTCTCTGGGACAAGCCCCGTGTTAGTTAGTGTTTGACTAGGTGTTCTCTGGACCAAGCCCTATGTTAGTTAGTGTTTGACTAGGTGTTCTCTGGACCAAGCCCCATGTTAGTTAGTATTTGACTAGGTGTTCTCTGGACCAAGCCCTATGTTAGTTAGTGACTAGGTGTTCTCTGGACCAAGCCCTATGTTAGTTAGTGTTTGACTAGGTGTTCTCTGGACCAAGCCCCATGTTAGTTAGTGTTTGACTAGGTGTTCTCTGGGCCAAGCCCTATGTTAGTTAGTGTTTGACTAGGTGTTCTCTGGACCAAGCCCCGTGTTAGTTAGTGTTTGACTAGGTGTTCTCTGGGACAAGCCCTATGTTAGTTAGTGTTTGACTAGGTGTTCTCTGGACCAAGCCCTATGTTAGTTAGTGTTTGACTAGGTGTTCTCTGGACCAAGCCCCGTGTTAGTTAGTGACTAGGTGTTTTCTGGACCAAGCCCCATGTTAGTTAGTTAGTGACTAGGTGTTCTCTGGACCAAGCCCCGTGTTAGTTAGTGACTAGGTGTTTTCTGGACCAAGCCCCATGTTAGTTAGTTAGTGACTAGGTGTTCTCTGGACCAAGCCCCATGTTAGTTAGTGACTAGGTGTTCTCTGGGACAAGCCCTATGTTAGTTAGTGTTTGACTAGGTGTTCTCTGGGACAAGCCCTATGTTAGTTAGTGTTTGACTAGGTGTTCTCTGGGACAAGCCCTATGTTAGTTAGTATTTGACTAGGTGTTCTCTGGGACAAGCCCTATGTTAGTTAGTTAGTGACTAGGTGTTTTCTGGACCAAGCCCCGTGTTAGTTAGTGTTTGACTAGGTGTTCTCTGGACCAAGCCCTATGTTAGTTAGTGTTTGACTAGGTGTTCTCTGGACCAAGCCCCGTGTTAGTTAGTGACTAGGTGTTTTCTGGACCAAGCCCCATGTTAGTTAGTTAGTGACTAGGTGTTCTCTGGACCAAGCCCCGTGTTAGTTAGTGACTAGGTGTTTTCTGGACCAAGCCCCATGTTAGTTAGTTAGTGACTAGGTG